GGGGCAGGCGGCACCGGGGCACCCGGACCCCAGGGCGCCAGCACCCCCTGGAGGGTGCAGGGACCCTGGGGGGGTGCAGGGCCCCCAAAAACATGTGCAAAGACCCCAGAGAAGGGTGCAGGGACCCTGCAGGGTGCAGGGACCCCAAAGACAGGTGCAAGAACCCCAGAAGGGGTGCAGGGACCCCGAAGATCAGTGCAAAGACCCCAGAGAGGGGCGCTGGGACAGCAGAGAGGTGTGCAAGGCTGCTGGCAGGGCCAAGGACCTCAGAGAGGTGCGGGGACCCTGGGGAGGGATGCAGAGACCCCAAAGAGGGGTTGCGGGGATCCCAGAGATGGGTGCAGAGACCCCAAAGAGGGGTGCAGGGATCCCAGAGATGGGTGCAAGAACTGAGAGGGTGCGGGGGCCCCAGAGAGGGGTGCAGGAACCCTAAAGAAGGGTGCTGGGACCCAGGGGAGGACATTTTGTGTGGGGGGGGCAGGGTGGTACCCCCAGGATTGAGGCTTGGGGGGAGCAGTAGGGGCGCTGGGACCACCTGTGTCCAGGCATGTGGAGGAGGAGCTGTATTATAGCCATGTTATAGCTGTGTGCGTGACAGCCTTGGCCATCTCTCCCCTCGGTCCCTGGGATCCCCGGGGGAAACTGAGGCACGGGGTGGCCGTGCCAGCGGGGAAGAGCCCCGATGCCAGCTCACCTGGCCCACACAGGCACATGGCTGAGGACGTCCCTATGCCCATGGGCAGAGCTCCTGGGATGTGGTGGCTCTGGGGACACCCAGTGGCTCCTGGGACATGTGGTGGCTTGAGGAAAAACTTTACTGTGAGGGTGACAGAGCACGGGCACAGGTTGCCCAGAGAGGTAGTGGAGTCTCCTTCACTGGAGCTATTCAAAACCCGGCTGGATGCGATCCTGGGCAATGTGCTCTAGAGGTCCCTGCTAGAGCAGGGGGGGGGTTGGACTAGATGATCTCCAGACCCTTCCAGCCTCAACCATTCTGTTGTGATTCTGTGGCTTCATGACATGCAGCAGCTTTGGGGACAAGTGGCAGCTCTGGGGACACAATGGCTCTGTGACATGTGGTTGCACTGGGGACGTGGTGGCCCTGGGACACATGGCAGCTCTGGGGACATGTGGTGACTGTGGGGATGTGGTGGCTCTGGGGACATGTTGCCTCTCTGGGGACACAAGTGGTGGCTGCAGAGATGCACAATGGCTCTGGGGACATAGCAGCCCTGGAGACCCGGAGGCAGCAGCTCTGGGGAAAAATTGTGGCTCTGGGGACATGGTGGCTGTAGGACATGTGGCAGCTCCAGGGACAGACAGCAGCTCAGAACAGGATGGGGATGTGGCAGGTCCATGCCACCGGCATCTCCAGGTCCCATTGCCACCATCTCCTCCGTGAGCTTGCACATCACTTGTGTCCCTGCAGGGACGGCAAGGTGGCATGGGCAGGGACGCCCGCAGGGCTGCATCTGCCAGGGATAGGGACACTGCAGGGGGACAGGCTGCAGCAATGCTGGGGTCAGCGTGGGCCGGGGTGACCCAGTGGCTGGGGTGCGGTGGGCCGGGCACGGCACCCGGGGCCCGCCG